AACCGCTCGAACCGTCGATTGATGGACATTGGCACGTGATTCTTTTTTTCGTCACGCACCCACCCTCTGGACGGTCCATTAACGTCAATCGCCGGCAATAAACTTAGCGAATCACTCTCTGGTTACCTCTAGTAGTCGAACCCGAGACGGCAAAAAAAAAGGGTCGCCCGGCGTTAAGGTCTGTCTCTTATCTTTCTCATCGGCTGCATTCTCCTGCACTACCCTTAACCTGCCCTTTGGCGAAATGCACACAATACGTCCGATTTATCATGAAATCTGGAGTAGCATAGAGGAGAATATATATTTATTACGCACGCATATAATATTTTACCTGCTTGACTTATGTTAAAAGTATTAATACGAGATATATTCATCCCTCTGCTATGACGTTGAATATCTAGGTCACTGTGTATATCGAAGAGAAGATATTTTATTTTCTAATTAATTTGAAATTTATAAAAATGATTTTTGTGATGTTGATCTAATTTTTATTTTATGATTTTTAGAATTATTACATCGAGTGTATCCAGACTTATATTTATTAAACTAAATTATTATACTTATTAAAATTATTTACTAAATTATTAAAATTATTTATGTAAAATATATATATTCATTACCTTTATGATATTTTTACATATGTGGACTGCATATTACGAATACAACCGACATTTTTACTGAACATTATAATATGACCGAATTTTCCGATAATTTATGTAATATTGTTTGTTGTTTTACATTGAAAATGACCCGATCGGTGTCGAAACGTTTGTATGTATGAATTTTAAATTATTAAATATTTTACATTATAATTGGCTCGTAGCCCTTCTTTTATTTAGTAAAATATTCATATTTATAGTTCGCTTAAAATATCGTGAAAATACTTCTCATAATTTAAATTTAGATTTATTTACTGTTTTATATATATAATAGGATAGATTTTTGTTTTGCTGTATATATACCCTTTAAATAATATTAAAATTTAAAAAAATTTACATTGGATATCATACATCTCACATATTTTTTATGACTGGATTCTTATTTTAAAACCATCTTAAGTAATATTTTAAGATGTTAATATGATTTTCTGATTGGTTTATGAGTGTACTTAACAGTCTTTTAAGACTGTACTTAAGAGTATTAAATATAAGAATCAACTATAAATACTGACCTATGATTGACATCTTAAATTTATACTTAATCTTAAATATAAGAATCAACTATAAATACCATCCTATGATTAGTCTACATACAAGTTTTTTGATATAAGATTATTTTTAATTTATTTTAACATTTTTGCAATAGCGATAAACTTTCAAAGATTTTATAAAAATTCCATGCAATGTCACCAGTTATATCATAACTGAAAATAAATATTATTTTTCAGACAAGGACAAATCAGGTAGCAAAGTGTAGAAAGTGCTTATGGAATTACACTTTTTCTGGACCGGTTGTCGAGAGATATATTAAAGTCGTTGCAGTTATTACTGAAGTATATCATCGAAGTCAATAGTGTTTGAAGAATCTTCTTTCGTAACGAAAAAAATTAACAAAAAAAGAAAAATGGCAGGCACTTACACGAAAAAGGAATTTGGTGCGGGGCCTGAGGAACAGACCCTTCTGAAAGACTCCAATGGGATCCGCATCGTACCTTCCAAAGGTAATGGGGCCGTGGTACGCCGTCTGTCGCATCTGCTATCATGGCTACAGGGGAATGCAGCTTTCTTGGAATGGTTTTCTTGTGGTTTTATTTTCCCACCATACTGCTGCCCAAACCAGTCTGCAGAAGAGGCTTTTATGCTGTGGACTTAACATCCTTGGCATTGACAGTGAAGTATTTGTGGATTTAGCATTGGTTCGTAGCTTGTTGAGCTTGATAGAAACAAAATATATCTTAATAATTTTAATCTAATAATTTTATAAAGTAAGCAGACTAAACAGACTGGTTTGATTAAAATTAATAATGTATAATTTTTATGCTTGATAATATTTACAATTTAAGATAATTCTCTCAGTGAAGTTTAAATTGATTCGAAATTGATCTTAGAGAGAAATTTAAATAAATTTGAAATAATTTAGTCTATGAAATAAAATTATAATTTTTGCATATATTATCAACATCCAAATATTTAGATTAATCTTAATATATTGTGAATTGTATTTTATGACTGATAATTATATTAGCTATATTACCGAAGTAATTTTAGTTCAGCTAGTGCACTCAAATAAGTTGATTTATTTTTAACAATTTAATGAATTATATTAATTGTTAACAATTTCCAGAGGAACATACACATTTTTTTAGATTTCTCTCTTAAAAGCTTTTCTGAGACATCATTTATTTCATTTATCCTATTCTCTATTATAATTCAGCTGAAGACTGATAAGATATTTTTAAAATACAAGAATCCGTATTCATACCTGATTTTTATCGATAAATGCATTTAGCATATAGTTCACATTATATATATTAATATTATATATATTAATATTATATATATTAATATTATATATATTAATGAATTTCAGAAATACACATGTTTATTTTCCATAAAAGTGAGACATGAATGCGGTTTCTTTTATCTTAAAATATATGCTTATTATTTGCTTATTATTTGCTATCTAATTGTTTTGCAACGCTGTAGCAGATAATAGATCTATTTTTTATAGTTGACTAGTGTGTACACTTTTTGTACTTAAAGTGAAATAAGTATTTTTTCAAGATTTTTTTTTTTTAAATCAAGAAAAAAATTCTTAGTGTGTGTAATCTATAGTATAGCAATGAAAACCAATCTTATAAGTACATTTAAAATTCTTAAAATTTTTATTCAATCAAAATGTAGCAAAAATCGATTTATGATCCATCAAAATGTTATAAATAATTAATTATAAAATAATGCAGAAATTTTAAGTAGGTATATATAAAATCGCCCATATACTTATTTATGCTTAATTTTATTATATTTACATATTTATATTCCTTTATTTATATATCTATTTTTTCTTCTAAATATATTCTTTTATTTGTCTTTTATATTTGTATTATTTATAACTTTTTATTGCACGCACAGTTGTATATAATTTGTTTATATACAGTTTGTTGTATAATTTAAACTATATCAAATAATTTCCTGTATTCTTAACTTTTAAAAGAATCATATTTTCTTGTGTAAGATTTATTTTGCTGATGTGACATGCTGATTCAGCTGAATGAATTTAAGTCTTTCATGTCGCCACTAACAGTCAGAAGCGCAAGACTTGAAGCAGTGTTTCTAATCTCTACAGCATTCAGTAAAAAATTATTATCAATGATTATAATCTGCTATAGCAATAATATAGTATTTCTTTACTATTTATCTTGCTAAATTCTATTTAAATAATTAAATGGAAGATGATTATACAGAAGGTACTTAACATTTTTCCCTTAGATATAATTACGTAATCAAATTTTTTTATCTTATATGTTACATTTGTTTATTGAGAATAATATTTGATATACATACATTATACAAGTTTATTTATATATGTATTTTCTTGTTTCATTTGTATATATTATATATTGTATAATATAATATTTTATGTTAGTATTTCTAACTTTGTAAAATGTGCTAATTTAGAGTATATCTTTTTTATAGACCCTGTTTGCATATCTTATAACACTTTTCCTCTGCTTGTTAATAATTGACGATCATTTATTGTATCACGCATACATATAACTTTTTATTATTTCAATTATTATCTGTCTATACAAATTATTATTAATATTTTATGTATGTATATGTCATGTATGTATATGCTCTCAAATTACATCAATTGATTTTAACGACTCAATTGATTGCCACATTCCATTACAATGGAACGCACACAATTATCTCTTTGTTGTAATCAGCTGTCTCATCTATTATTGGAATATACACAATTATCTCCTTGTTGTAATCAACTATCTCAGTTATCTTTCTTATTCTTTCTTTCTTTCAAATATTATAGTGTGTTAGCTATACAAGATTTTTCTTTGCCTTTATTTTTAATAATTATATCACACAAACATTTTTAGATATCAAACAAATAATTTTATTAAAATTATCTTTTTAATTCTTCGTGATATGTTAAAAGTCAGAATTTTTTTTTATTAAATTTTAAATATATGGTATGTGTAATATCTTTTTAAAATTAATATATATATATTTGTTGTATTTTTGAGGTAATATTAATTTTTTAAATTCCAAAAAATTGTTTAAGATTATTATATTAGATTAAATAATTAATTTCTCGAAAATTTTAAAAGAAATCTGAATTTAATTCGAATAGGGACTTTTCAATTTAATGTTAATAAAAAAATTTTTTTAAGAAGTCACTATATTATTTACACAATTTTAATTAATATAATATATATATATATATATTGACAGCGAAATTTAATATTATAAATAGTACATTATGTAAGATATTGAGCAAATTTTTAATGAATTAATTTTAAGGTTCAGAACCAGTACGTCTTTCACCAGGATGGGAAGGCACAGGTAGACCTGACGACGAATTGAATTTTAAAGGTGTTACAATGGATCAAGCAGATCTCGAATTGAATCCTCCTAGAGATAGGTATAACTATAAATTTATTAATATTTGTTTAATAAAATTATTTGTTTATATAAAATTTATAGTATTTTAGTAATGTAGGAAGTTTATATTAGAATGATATATACGTATACATATACAGAGTGATCCAGACCAACCGCACGAGCCGACATGTACATATTCTTCATGAAAAACTGAATCGAAAATGTTAATAGCAAAATGTTGAGGTGTCAATAGTTTTTGAATGGTGAGCCTTTGAAATCGTCCAACCACGACGTGTAAAGTTCGCGCCGTCAGGCGCGGCGCAATCAATCGGCCGGCCGCGATTGCGCTGTGACGGATATCGCTAAACGTCATGAATGAGTATTGAAAAGGTTCCGTGAAATCTCTATTAACGTCTATTGCTGTATTCTTAAATTAAATTTAACGAGGAATAATTTCAATTGCAAATTCGATCAAACATCATTAAAAAGTGTGTTATCAATTAAAAGTTTTTTTAAGATACACATTTTAAGTAATAAACAATTATTAATAAATTAAATCAATATTCATTAAATCATCCAAACAAATAATATTAAAAACATCAGTCAACATTTCCAAAACTTCAAATAGTTCTGTCATAAACAATATTAGAAAAATTTTAATAATAAAATTACATTTTAATTTTTAGTAACAATACAACTTATTATTTGCTTACTTCAGTTCCTTCACTGTAATAATACTTTCCTTTCTTCTCATTGTAATTCGGAATTTCGTTCATTTCATTTCATAAATATGAAATATTTATTTATATCAAATGCGAATTTCAAATGTAAATTCTTTCTACTATTGTTTATGACAAAACTGAATGAAATGAACGAATTTCCGAATTATGATATGAGAAAAAAAAAGTATTATTACAGTGAAGGAATCGAAGTAAGCAAATAATAAGCTGTATTGTTATTGAAAATTACATTAAAATATAATTTTATTATTATTAAATTTTTTCTAATATTGTTTATGACAACTATTTGAAAATAAGTTGTGGAAATGTTTGTTAATTGATGTTTTTAAAAATATTCTGTTTGGATGATTCATTTAATATTGAGTTAATTTATTAATATTGTTTATTATAATACTTAAAATGTGCATCTCAAAGACACACTTTTTAATGATGTTTTATCGAATTTGCAATTACTCTTCATAAATTAAATTTAATTTAAGAATACAGCAATAGACGTTAATAGAGATTTCACGAAATCTTTTCAATACTCATTCAACATCGTGACGTTTAGCGATATCTGTCAAAGCGCGATCGCGCCGGCCACTTGGTTGTTCCGCGCGAACTTTACACGCCGTAGTTGGACGATTTCAAAGGCTCACCATTCAAAAACTATTGACACCTCAACATTTTACTATTAACATTTTTGACTCAGTTTTTCATGAAGAATACTGTACATGCCGGCGATTGGTCTGGATCACTCTGCATAGAGGAAATGGTGTGTATATACAGGGTGTTTCCAAATTAAATGGCAAAACTTCGGGAGCGTGTAGAGGAGTAAAAAACTAAGAAAAAAAGTCCTATAGACATATGCTCGTTTTTGCTCCGTTTCAGAGAAATCGAAAAAAAATGTTTACATTTCTTGCCATATCTAGCACCGACATATTTGATTACATTTTCCACTTTCTGTTATGAATTTGTCAGTCGCTCTTTGAAAGCCTTTAACAGTAGATGAATTTTGTCTTTTGCAATATGCCGCGTACGTATTCTAATAGTGAATATGCTGATATGGTTTTTGTATACGGTTTCTGCAACGGTAATGCTTTAAAGGCGGTGCGAGAATATGCACGACGATTTCCAAACAGAAGAGTGCCAAACCGAAGAGTGTTTATGTTGACATTTAATAGATTGCGAGAGACTGGATCATTTTCAATTCGACAAGAAAACAACCGATTTCAAGCAGCGTTACGAAGAGATTTGCAGGCAGGGAATCGTATTTTACAACATTTTGACAATCATCCTGAGACCAGCGTTCGGAATGCGTCGGCTGTATTGGGAGTGTCACCACAAACAATTTGGCGAACTGTAAAAGGAGATAATCGCTATCCCTACCACATTCAAAAAGTGCAAAATTTATTACCTCAAGATCATTGGAACAGATTGAACTTTTGTAACTGGTACCTTCAGACATGCCACAATGATATTTTATTTCCATCTAAAATAATGTGGTCAGATGAGGCAACATTTACCAGAGGTGGAATAATTAATCAAAGGAATTATGATATATGGGCTCATCAAAATCCCAGGTCTGTTAGAGAATACAAATTTCAGCAAGAGTTTTCTGTTAATGTCTGGCTTGGAATTTGGAACGACGTTTTAGTGGGACCGTTTTTTTTACCTGCAAGATTAAATGGGGACCGTTTTCTAAATTTCTTGGAGAATGAATTTTCTGACTATTTAGAAAACATCCCATTACAACAACGTACTGAAATGTGGTTTCAATTAGATGGATGCCCTGCTCATTACAGCAGAGTCGCTAGAACCTGGTTAGATAGAAAATTCCCACAACGATGGATTGGACGTGGAGGAGCAGTACATTGGGCAACTCGTTCGCCCGACTTAACGCCATTAGATTTCTATGCATGGGGTACTCTGAAGCAAGAAGTTTATTCTTCGCCTATTCAATCAGAGCAACATTTGAGAAATCGTATCGTAGCTGCAGCGAACAGAATATCGCAAGAACAGTGCCTGGCTGCTACAAGAGCCGTGTTTGACAGATGCAATGCTTGTATTGCTGCAAGAGGTGCACATTTCGAACAAAATCTTCATTAAAAAGTTTATAAATAAAATAATTAAAATAATAAATTAAATATATTTTTTTCTTTTTTCGTGATTTCCTGCGAAACAAAGCAAAAAGGAGCATATGTCTATAGGACTTTTTTTCTTAGTTTTTTACTCCTCTACACGCTCCCGAAGTTTTGCCATTTAATTTGGAAACACCCTGTATACAGGGTGGGGCATTTTAATCGCTCCAGGCGAATATCTCAGAAACTAAGAGAAATACAAGAAAAAGTTTTATATGAAAGTTGTAGATTTTCTTGGAGGAAAGAAGTTGGAAATAACGGATTTTGGATAGGGGGCACTACTAAGGTCAGGTCAGGGTCAACATGAATTTTTTTAATTAGAACCCCCAATTTTTTATTGCATATTCTTGTAGCACACCTCGAGAACTTTCCAAAACACTATAATAAAATATTTTTTCATAAAGTACTTTTTGAGTTATAAGTCTTGTATGTTATAGTTTCGCCGGCAATAACATTACCCAAGGTGTCTGACCGACGGCTAAAACTTTTTGAATGTTATTCAGGATCACGACCTGGATAACATTTGTCAAGGTCAAGGTCATTGGAGGTTGTTTCTCTAATTTCATTTTTGCACTAAAAATTCATTTCTACGTAAAAATGAAAATAAGAAGTACAATCTCCAATGGCCTTGACAAATGTTATCCTAGGGCGATTAAAATGCCCCACCCTGTGTATATACAGGGTGTCCGGCGAGACTTCTCCTACCGCCCACAGGAAAGTAGATGAGATCGAAATAAACATAAATATCCTTTATCGTTTAGCAATATTCGTAATAATAATCGAGATATTAATGTTTGCAATTGTACCAATGAGAGCGCGCCGATAGAAACGCTCTGGCCACTCGAGATATAGCCCGGCCCAGTTTGTCAAACGATGGATGCGCCGGCAGCGCGTTGGAGAGGCGTTTCTATCGGTGCGCTCTCATTGATACAATTGCAAACATTAATATCTCGATTATTACGAATATCGCTAAACAGTAAAGGACTTTTTATTTCGATCCCATCTACCTTCCTGTGGGTGATGAGAGACGTCTCGCCGAACACCCTGTATATA